ATACTTTTGTCCACATGAAACGTTCCCGAAAATGCCTACAACCCTGAACCCCTGAACCCCGGGCAGTTCTTAGATCTGTTGCTGGCCTATGGACTCGTTCCGGTGGTAACCCTCAAGCAGTAGGTGCCTCTTCAAAATGTTGGGGTCATGGCGACACAAAGGTAGTTCCCAAAATTAGGGTCCCATGTTGCTACTCCTAAATCTTATATAAGTGCCGCAATATAATCTATAACCACAAGGTGCCCATAATCTTAAGAACAAGACACAAAGCACAAAAGACGGGACCGTGAGAAACGACCAGCTACTTTGCTTGCAGCACTTGCTTGTGTGTCTCCTAGCTCTGAGAGTTCAAGCTTCACAAAGCTCAGGTGTCAGTGTGTTTCTGACCGGTGCTTCTTCTTAAATTCATAAGAGCTCTCAAGCCAAACCCTCAAGTCCTGAGCAACCCCAATATCCCTAAACCCCGGCCGTTTTATCATATTTTGGGAACCCCAAATTGTCAAGTTGAGCCTATTTCCTGCACAGACCACCATTTGAAGGTGACGGGGGCAGCTCGCACCAAAAACTGCCAAACAAATCTCTGGCCCCGCGACCCTGAGGCAGTAAACCATGATGAGCCGCCTGCAGTTTGGGCCGGCTGGCCATCCAAGCTTTGTAGGCCTGGCAGATTAGGCTTTGAGATTTTTGTGTGTAGGGTTTAGCACTTAGAGTTTAGGCAATCTGTGTTTAGAGTAGGCGTTGGGTTTAGGGCTTAGATTTTGGGGATAGAGTTTAGGATTACATTGCGCCAGCTTGCCTGATCACAATCCCAAACAACTTTGTCATCATAAGAAAGGCTGCTAGGCTTCAGGCCCAAAGCCATATTCTATCTACTTGAGGAGGACTATAGCTAGAATTATTATTAAGTTTAGGCTTCGCCATGGGTCCTTGGGGAGGCTTGTTTGTTGCGGCAAAGTTCTGGCCTGCTGTTTAGAGTTTATAGGGTTTAGGGCTTATAGTCTTATAGGGTTTCATAGATTGCTTTTGGGTGGATACTGTTTGAGTCTTGATAATCGCTTCCCCCTAACATCAAACATAAATTGCGGGTCCCCCAAAAACAAAAATTATGAAAACAACACCCCAGACCATTTCAAAATTGCCAAGACTACAGCTCGGATCCTCTGAATTAGGGGGTTACAAGCACGACTCTTCAGGTTTAGGGATCTCCTTCATTTCCTAGGTGTTGATTGTTTTCAATGCTTTTTACACAGGAATTAGAAAAATCTGGATGCGATGTTACTGGGTTTTACTGTGAGTTTACATCGCTTTTAACTTTTCATTATACTGTAATCAGGTTCTAGCTAGATTCCAAAAGTTATATATAGACTTTAGCTGGTTTGGTTACGATTCTAAATTGATCTGAGATAGCAACTTACATTTGATTTTCTATTTCAGTTGCTTTTTAGTTTGATTTTATAATTGATGTTTTTTTTCTCCGATTTTAATTGGATATAATCGGACTTTATTCAAGGAAGAGCGTATTTTGGGTGTAATTCAATTGGCTCGAGCTGCAACGTGCATAAACCTATCCCCACGTTTCCATGTCATGTTCCATATGATCTTCTACTTGGTTCTCCATTAACTTTACCCTCATCCTACACAGCCAGCTTCTACGAGAAGAAGATGAAGGGATGACTGCAAGTGGTTGGCCGTCTGTTTGTTCAGGGTTTAGGGTTTAGGGTCACAGTTCACCCTTGAAGCTTAGGGACACCTCATCGCTCAGGTGTCGCTTGTCATGTGGGGTCATCTTCGGATGTTGCCATGCCATATGAGCCAATCTGAGCTCCTACTATGCCCCTTATACCCCCTATAGTAGTCCCCTATATAACCCCCTTTAGGATTTAAAACTATAGACATAGCTCATATGCAACAATGAGGTTTCTTGCGCGTCTTAGGCAGGCAGGTAAGTTTCTTGAAGAACAAGCGCCGGCAAAACGGAGTCGCAGCCAGGCAAGCCTGTATGCGTGTTCGTACATGACATGAGCTATAGTCTGAACTCCTTGAAGGAGGTTGTATAGGGATTATATCAGGGAGTACTATAGGGCTTAATCAGGGGGATAATAGGAGTTTAAACTTATAGCTCACATGACTTCAAGCATGGCGGCCATAGGGATGCATCCATGCATTAGCTACGGTTGAAGGGCTATGTCATGTCGATGCATACTCGCTACCCTATCATAGAACCACAGGCATTGTTTCGTGCAGCTTGTGCACGCGGGTCATGCGCGTGGTCTCTTCTGCTGATGGGCCAAACGTCGAAGACCCAAAACTACACACGCGCGTGAATCTCTCTAACAAATTAAAATTAGCAAGACCGGCTCACCCACTCCCCATCCTTTCAGTACAACCTGCACCTAGGCCCATGAAACTCTTGGACATTCTTGGGCGGCGGGGGTGGGGGTTTGACGATATGGAGTTGAGGGGATGAGCATGAAAGAAGCTGTCAGGACACCCTGCAACTAAGCAGTAGACCAGCTAAAACAGGTCGATATGATTTTTGGAGAAATCACATGTTGCTATCAACAGTGTAAAGGCCTCCGGTTACAATCTTGGCATGAAGCCTACATGATGCAGTACGAAAATATCCCCCCATATTTAATGCCCGTTGACAAGCAAGTCCTGGGCTCCCTTGAAGAATCGTTCGGAATCATTCTTACTAGGGGAGAGGCGTCTGAATGTTCACTTGAGGGAGGAGTTTACTAATTCACCCTAACCCATCTCCTAAGCTCTCGAAACCCTAAACCCTAAACCCTATCGAAACCACTTCGTTCATCTCCCTCTGTGGCCTTCAAACAGGGAATGTCAGCGGCTGTCCAGGCATTGCTGTAGAAGTCGCTGTTGAACCTGAATCACATAATGTTTAGGGCTTACGGTTATATAGGGGATTATATAGGGAGCAGGACTACTATAAGGCCTATTAAAGGGTATACTAGGAGTTTAGACTATGAAAGATATGGGGGCTTCAAAGCCCTGAACCTCACATTTTTGAAAACGCAGCCCCTGAACCCTGAACCCATAACATCCCCAAAGCCTAACACCTCAACTCTTACGCTCAATTCCTCGAACCATGGACTTCAAATCCTAAACCCTAACTACTAATCCCTGAGCATGAGCCAATGTTTGCTGCGTCCAAGGAGCTGGGCCTCAGTTGCCTCAGTCAGCTTAGCATCATGGATCCCCCTACTAACTCCCTAGGCCCCCCTTAATTAAGGCAGGGCCAATCAGCCCCAAGTAGGGTCAATTAAGGGTGAGCCTAAAAGGGTAGTGTGGCGGAGGGGAGTAAGGAAACCCATGATAGCAGGGTATGAGGATATCCCAGGGTCAGGGAGATAAGGATTTTGGGTTCAGGGTGACAAGGTGGCAGGCTCAGGCTACCTAGGATGTATGACCTTGCTGCCTATACTGGAGATATTGAATAAAATAGGGTTCAGGGTTAATGCTTGGAAACCAGACTTTAGGCCGTATCTCTTGGTCCCTAAACCCCAAACCCTAAACCCCAAACCAAACAGACTGCATATCTGAGCTTGTGTGTTGTGCGAGAATGGCTATGCGGGCTTGCTAGACACCTTTTGCTTCTTTGAAAACTGGGTTGGCCTTTGGCACCCTCTGAAAAATATCAGTACATAGGATTCTTGAGAAACCAATTCGGCAAAAATATTTAAGTATCCCAAAGGCCAACCCAGAAAATTAAACTTGGAGTGGACCTCTTTCAACGATGCCCTGATCCCTCTATTCCTACAGCGAACTCTAAACCCTACTACATTCCATACCCTAATCCCTAAACCCTAATTTCGCACTGTGCTCTGCTGAAAAAGACTTTCAGGGTAACGACTTTCGCTTTCAGATCTTGTCGGGCCTCCACTTGCCTGAGGCTTCTGGAGGGTTTTGGCTGGATACCGCCCCACCAAGCCTTAGGGTTGCCGAAAGTATGTGTTCCCTTCAAACATCAGAGGCCGCGTTAGAGTAAGGACATACATAGGATCCTATTCACAGCAGAAGATAGTCATAGTTGCAGTGCTGGCGGGCTGTTGTAGGGTTGGGGCAGTACCCAAGTTTCAGAGCTTCGGCAACACTAGCGCTTGTAAATTTGCTGCAGTGAGTTGAGAGCTCACATCTTAGGCGCATGCTTCAGGTCCCGGATAGCGTGAAGATCCTTTCGGAAGGTGCGGCCCTTCGGGATTGGGGGAATCCACACCCCCGACCTCAATCGTTGGGGTAGCCGCTTATCGAGTCTTGCACCTTGAGGAGCTCGGGTGCTCACGATGGGCAATCCAGCAAAACAACTAAATCCATACTTACACAGACGGGCTACAGCCTAAACTCCTTAAAGGGGGTCACATAGGAGATTAGACAGGAGAGTATTATAGAGGTTACCAAGGGGGATACTAGGAGTTCAGACTATGGCTCATATGATGCCCCTTGACACCAGCATCATAGCGGCTAGCAAAAACCTGCATGGAAAGCTTACGAATGGGCTGACTTTGAAGATTGTGGGTGGCAATGAAGCAGGTGTTTGACCCTAAGACTGTAAAAATTGACAACCACCGACCTTCCACTTCAAATGATGCTGCAACGTGCATACTGTAGGGCAAAGATACTTTAAACAGGTCCTCCAGTACAGCCTGATTCACGTTGGCTACAGATTGGACTGTTTCATATAATGCGAAATACCTGATAGAACGGAAACGGACTGGCAACTTTCCCCCGTTGCCGGAATTTACCTCGTGGGTACAAGATATCCTTAAACAAGAAACCGAAACAGCGTTTGTGGCCGTTGGCCCCCCTGATACTACTTTCATCTGCTCGCCACACGCTGGATTCAGCTGTTCAACACTGATCCTCTTCCTGGAACTCACAACAAAGGACCCCACACCCTAATCATTGTAAAATGGTGCTGTCTCGAGGATATTTGGGACCTGGGGGATCTCAATGGGGAAAATGATGATCCCCAGCTGAGAAGCATCCAAAGCGTGGAACCTTATGCAGCGCGGACTTTCAGGGGTTCTGCAAACAGGAGAGTTTGAGAATAGGCTTCATAGGGACTATATAGGGGTTATAGTGGAGAATCGAATGGAAATTTGAATTGAGAACGGCATGGCAACTACCCAATATTAAACCCCCAACCCCCCTAATATTAAATGCTCCCATTGTGTGGTAAATCACACAATCTATTGGGAGTACTTAATATCAAGGGGGGTGGGGGGCTTAATATTACGGGGAGGGGATTGGGATTAACATCGGATTACAAAGGGGAACCGTGACGGCTCCTTCTGCAGGATGATGTAGGACTTGTTTCGTTTTCGGGTGTTGGGTTTAGGCTCTGGAATATGGTGGAAATCATGAAATGTTGTCGGCAAGAATCCGGCCCTGCATTCAGGCATGATGTTTCTTCAAATACGAAGGCGCTTCCCACAAAATTGCCCACTATCAACCGCATCTGCTTATTTTGGCGGACATTGTAGCTCTGTGGCATGTCTGGGAAAGCATTAGAAATGGGATCACAAACATCTGTTTCACAAGAGCTGCGAAAGGTGCGTTTTCAGAAGCTGGGTGAATAGCTTAGACCTGAAATTCGCGGCTTGAGGGAGTCAAGCAAATATTCTGGGCTCTCGGATGGAAGAGCTTGCTGTTTTGACAACATCTGAGCTACAGTCTAAACTCCTAGTATCCCCCTTAATAAGACCTGCAATAGTCTCCTATATATTCCCCTATATCCCCCCCACTTCAGGAGTTCAGACTATATCTCATCTGAAGCCCTGCCAAGCAGCTTTTCCCCTGGGCCCCAAGCGGAATTGTGCAGACTGTAGGGGTCTTCTTAGAATAACCTATACACCCATTAACATGGGTCTTGTACCTGATGCTTTGGTATCTTTACCGTTTTTTCGGGTCTGGCTTGCTTTAGGTAAATGATTGGAACAAGGTTTTGGGCACTTTCTACTTCGACCTCAGAAGCGTTTTACGTGCGAGGTAATGTTGCACAGTTTTCAAAATTCTGGCCCTTCGGCCAAAAACCATAGCCGGACCTGTAGTATATGAGTCAGACTCCTCGCCTGCAAATGCCCCCAAAGTCGTAGCTAGACTCCCCCAAACAAAACTCCAAAAGAAGATGTCTCTACACTCCAGTCCTTCTAGGATCAAACCACCGGGAGTTCCACATTTCTTGTTGAAGAAGTATACGTCTTAAGCCTGTAGTCATTTGCTTGCAGCATCGGATGTCCTAAAATTGTCAGCAGGCCTTTTGAAGTTTTACCGCAGGTTCTGCAAGGTGGAACACATGACGAAGATGTACCGTGTCACACAACACGTGACCCAAACACCCTGTACCGCTCTCCTCAGCACACCTCTTTCAGACAGAGAGGCAGCATGAAGTCCGCATAGGTAATGCTGGAGCCGCCTGCGTCTGAAATTGTTAACTTCGCAGTTTCAGCAGTTTTGCGTTGACGTCTTACACTGTAGGATCTCCAGCTTTGGGCCTAGTTTGTGTGTCTTCAGGGTAGGCCATCTACGTTCTGGGGGTTGTATGCACCATAGTGAAGACATGTACAGACAACATGGGCCTGCAAGGAAGCTGCAACGAAAGACCACATGCACAATCACAAGGAACTGTTCAAGCGTGCTCGACTCAAAGTATGCTAGTTTCGCAAAATAAGGGGACCCCAATATAGACCCAAAAATACTATAATCCTTATTCTGGGGACCCCCAGAATGGTACCCCTAATTTTGGGGAACCCTCGTATCTTGCCATTTGTCTCGTTGAGGGAGGGCGGCAGGATCTTAGGAAGCCATCGTTCTGAAGCAGAGGATTGCATGAACCCAATTTCTTGGGACTTGTCAGTGTCTGAGTGTGTCGAAAGAACACCCAACAATCCACACTGGGGGCACCATGTGAGCAATAGCCTAAACTCCTAGCATCTCCTTGACTAACCCTATAATACTCCCATATATAATCCCCTGTACAATCCTCTCATATAAAGCCCCTTTTAAGGAGTGCAGACTACAGCTCATGTAACCCGTTTGTAGTCACAATGCATCCCGAGAGTCGTCCAGGGTGCTTATGCAAGTTTACGAAGCGCACGTAGTTCTAAGACATGGGTGTTTAGGGTTTTAGGGTTTAGGGGTCTAGGGTCTTATGGGGGTTGTGGGTTTCAGGGTTCTAGGGTCTAATGGGGGCTTAGGGTTTTAGGGCTACCTGTCGTACCCACCTTGCCTGCAATTGGCTTTTCGGCACCTACACGCTTCACGACTTTCTCGAAATGCTGCAGCCATACCTGAAAGGCTGAGGGCGGTGTGTCAATTAGGAATTAGGCTGGGGTACGTGGTTGAGAGTTCTAGGGTTGAGGGTTGCAGGATGTAGGCTGCTGGGCAACCATGTAGGCTGCCTTGCCCTTTGCTATTGGATTGCTGGACGTTTCCGGGGGCTCACCCATCATGTTCCTTTAAACCTGATGAAGATACAAATTTAATACAGTACATGAGATCGGGAAAACCAAGTCTTCAAACCCCCTCTCCCTGGAATGCAGCAACCTCGATGAAACAGCTTGTCATGCTGCATTGGGTCCAAGACAAAACACCAAGGTAGAGTAACATGATTTTGGGTCGCAAGGCTTCAGGTTCAGAATTTACATATTTCCCTTATATCGTCAAAATTACTTGTTTGTGGCACGGGGGAATCTACTTAGGGTGCCCCGTATCGTTTGCAGGTCTGGGAGATATCGTTTTGAGGCATCGCCTTTTTAGGGTGCCCCGTATCGTTTTGCAGCGGTCTTAACATCTTTCTACTCATTGAACAACCACCCTTACTACTCGACAATAACAACAATGTTGACCGCGGCTTATATGTATATATATATATATTTATAAGTATAGTTAAATATATATATATATATATCAAGAAGATACTACATTATTTCCGAACCCAAGCCTTAAAGCTAAATATTAGTTTCCATTTTCTTTCTCCACTATCGCCGCATCGTTTGAATCACTTGTCTTCTTCTCAGTTATGTTCTTATTGGTTTTGCTGTCATGTATCATACTGGCTGTTCCACATGCTATGATTACACAATTCCTGAACCCTAAACCTTATGGTTATATAATCCAGAACCCTAAGGCTCCATATCGGTACTTTTTCTACACCTTGCGGCTCAATGTAGGTGCTATTTATGGACTTGGAGCCCTAGGGTAGGCATGTTTACCGTAACTCTAATGGGAGACGGGGAGTCAGTTCGGAACCCCACCAGACCAAGCCGTAAGTTACCCCAAACCCTCCTGAGTCCACAAACCCAAACTATCCCCAAAGCAGGACTCCGGCATAGGTTTTCTAGGGTTTTGGGTTTAGTCTTTAAGGTTCAGGGCAAAACCGTAGATGCCACTGTTTGTTGATTCGATGTATACCAGGAAAACTAAGATTCATCTCCAACTACGAGCCAGTAAAGCACTCCCTCTCTCTCTTTTTCTTTTATCTAGCAAGGAACGCGATACTACGAATACGGGCTGCCCAAATGCAAACGGGCAAAGCCCTGTATGGCATCTTGTCTTCTTCAGGTGCTAGGGGGTACTACTACTTCTTCTCTCTCTATCTCTCTCTCCCAGCAATTCAGGTCTCCCTGTCAGCGCCCTGTAAAGCGCTATTTGATTCCAGTTCTCAGTTCCTTTCATGCTTTTGCATTTGGTTCGTCTCCATTCATCAGGACCCCTTGTCACTGTAGTCGCCTGAAACCCGTAACATAAGTTTTTTGGAAAATCCCCTAAGGTTATACTATAATAGGAATGAAAAAGAATTCCTAGGGAGGCTACAGTCCGGGGTCTATCTTATGTTTTTCACCGCCTAGCTGCTCCCATGCGGCCAGCGCTCCACTCTTTGGACTTCTTATCCTTGGCGGTTTAGGGTTTAGGGTTTAGGTAAGGGATTTCCTTCATCTTGGCCTTTTGGGTAGGGGCTTGGCCAGGGAGGTGAACCTTAAACTCTAAACCGTGTGCATCTTGGCTTTACGAACGCCTGGCTTCAGTAGTATGTAAGGGTATGGCTCAGATCCATGAGGTTTGATCAGCGTTTAGGGTTCAAGGTTTGGGGTCGCCTCCTTTAAACCAGGACTACTGTTGGATTTTTTTGATCAGCTTCTGCATGGTAGCTTTCAAAAGTAGGGGGGCCCAGTATCGACCCGAATACACAACAACCCTGAGTAAAATGGAGCCCCAAAAAGGGACCCCTGTTCTCTGGACACCCGAAACCCTATATTGAATTACTCTTTTCTAATTAATTTTCAAATTTGTTCCCTTTCAGAAACTTGACCCTAGAATTCTCCGCCTTAAAAGTCCTTACCTCTTTAGCCCGGGCTGCGACCTGCCACGTATGGTCATATCTATAGTACTCGAAGCAGTTATGGCACTACCAAAGTAGCACCTGCGGTGTACAATCTAATATGGATATGTGGGGCTGATGCACAAAAAATGCGGAGGCGCCTATCTTCAACCTTTATCCCCATCTGCCCAAGTTGCTCCTAGACCTTAAACCCTAAGCCGGTCCGCAACAAGCTTGCCTGTTTCAGGTTAAACCCTAAACCCCGCCTAAACCCCCTTGCTGTCAAGTTGCTGCCTCCTCTTTCTGAGTTGTATAGGGTGCCTGGCATCATCAAGGAGGAGATGCTGATAGCAAAGCTCAAGTGACATGGGGGGCGGTCTTTCTCAGAGGCTTTGTCATTGAATGTACTAACCTTGGCGGCTACAGATACTGAAAATGCACATGTGAGTGGCCCAGACCACTCCGTGAGATCACCTGACTACAATACTACGCCCCCTAAACCATAAACCCTAAACCCATAAAACCGGTTTAGGGTCTAGGAATAGATTGCGGGCACCCCGGCAGCGTCTGGTAGGATTTGGCTTCGGCATTTCTGGCGGCCTTCTGGTCCATCGGGTGGAAAGATGCGCGGCCCTCCGCAACGTAGTCAACAGCCTTGTCTGCGACGGCTGGAGCTTGCAATCTTACCAGCCAAGCTACCCAAACCCTCCAAACCTAAACCACTTAGTCCAAGCCCTGAAACTTGAATGCTCTTTTGTGGTGTGTACGCTTTGAGAATTCCGGGGGTCATAGTAAAATCAAAAATAAGACCAGTTCCTAAGGAGATAGGAATATGTTCGCTTGCAAGATCTCCTTAACAACATCTCATGGCATTCAGTCAGGTGGCTGGCTATGGAGGCTTAGGGTTTAGGGTTTTAGGGTTCACAAAGTGACAGAGATCGGTACGCCTCCAATACTCACATGGGAAAATGGGACATGATAAAGACACAACTAGCTTATGTAAGGTGTATTTAGGGTTAAGGGAATTGTTACTGGTCCTTTCTTGCTTCCTAAGCCCCTTCAGCAGCAACAGCTTCAGTTGTCCTGCACATGAACCTGAGGACCTAAAAGCCGTAAACCCGAATGTAAACAGGGTTTGGGTTTAGGGTTTAGGGTGGATAGTCGAACTGAAGAAGACCTTCTACTGACGACCCGAGCGATGGCGAGCTGGTTTCCTGCTTTCTTTAGCCTGCACAACTCATTCAGGGCCAATGTCGAACTTCCCTCCCCAAATCCATGGCATGCACGATCATGGAACATGTAACTAAAAAGAGGGCTGCAATAATTACACACGGAAGTAAGTGACGCGTTGCTTTCTGAATTCCCAGCATCTTCTTGGCCCTGAAACCTCCTCCGCACCACCTGGCCAAAGGACCAGCACCAGTCCTGCTGCATGGGCTCTACGTGACCATAAACGCTACTACACCCTTGGCCCTATATAACCCATTACTTAGGTGGAAACCCACTGTAATAGTGGTACAACAGGAATATAAGAGGACCCGAATATAGTTATCATCATCCCTTGTAGTCACTATTACAGGGTGGGGGAGTCCTCCAACCCAGCATCGTACTTTCGATGTTCTTCTCCATTCCTTCTAAACCCTGATCCCTGAACCCATTGCAATACAGTCCAGCGAAGTGGCATATTTTGCCTGATCAGAATACGACCTCCGGGAAAATAACCTTTTTTTACTCGTTCTTAGTGAGGCATACGGGAATATTTGTTGCCTATATAATCTCAATATAATATACTCCCTTATTCCCTACTAGGCCCCGCGTCTTTTGGACATCCCACTGAAAAAAGCAATCTCCGAAGAAATGCAACTATAAACTACTCTGAAGAATGAAGGGTTAGTCTAAGTTCCTGTCGGAACACCTTGCTAGGCTTAGGAAGGTCCGTTCTTGATCTGGGGAGCATTTTGCGTGATCTGGTCTGCCCGCGCAATTTCAGCAGGCACGGTTGGCGAATAGCCCAAGCAGCGCCTAGGGTATGGGTGCATGTGGGATTTTCTTTCTGTTGTATCCCTCTGGGTAAAAAGGGGCTGCAAACAATCCTTGCAGCCTCCAGGAATCCTTAAGAGTGCCTGAGGGCCACCCCTAGAAAAAGCAGTGAACGTGTAAGGCCGTGAGAACTACAATCACTTCAATTGATTGTAAAGTCTAGAGTGTTCAAGCTTCAGACTTCAGATATGCAGCTCTTTATCTTGAGAGGTAGACCTATAGTCCCCCTTGAGTAGATAGAATATGGCTTTGCGTATAATATAATAAGATCCCCATATAGCTCATATTCTATCTACTTAAGGGGGACTATAGCTTACGGCCCAGGGAGCCCTGCATGTTGCTGAAAGCCAAGCCAAGCTTGCGGACCATAGGCTAGGGCTAGGAAGGGCCTAGTATGGTAACTATTGCGGCTATATAGGGATAACGGAAAAGAACATGGGCACTACTAGAGTATATTGGCGTTATATAAGGTTTAGAGTTTAGGGATTAGCAGTCTGGCCTCAGCTCCCACCCAGTATCGGCGGTGTAAGATAAATATGTGACTTGTGCTCTATGCCTTAAGACAATCACCATCAATATCTTGTGGCCAGTGATCAAGGATTGGGGCCTGAAGCAAGACATATTCCACATCAGAATCGTGCGCTCCCCACATTGGTAGATGCCACCATAACACCCCCAAAACAGTGAGCCTTTTTGACAAGGCCCCAACTTGAAACCCACAATTTCGAGATAGACCAAAAGGCTAATAACAATCAAAAGTAAATACGACCCAGTCTGCTTTGTCCCGCAAATTCGGATTGCCCTAAGGGTCCAAGTACCCAATAATCATATACTTACCCAAAATCTGTACTTTAATTACTACTACCAATATCCCAAGTACCTAATTATTGGGTACATGGACCCTTAGGGTTGCTTCTTACCACCCAGCTGATGTCTTCAAGTCTTAAGAGAACAGGAGTTCTGGAGCCCTGACGGAGGCCTGGTACAGTACTGTATGGCATACGTATTACATGATTTCAATCATTGATACACCGCTCCTCTTCACTTGCTTGGCGAATACCATGACTCTTTGTCCGAATTCGTAGGGTCTCCTTTTACGGGCAATGGCTTCATAGCAGGTCAGCCAAGAAAAGCAAAAAAAGCCTTTCAAAAGACTGAAAGAATACTTCATGACGGAACCATATACCTACTGGTGCAGCTCCTGAGGTAAGCCTAAACCTTGGTTACTGCCCCCCTCAGTAACAGCTGGATGATAATTATAATATGGTTATATATATATATAGCCCCTAATAGGGCCCCTAGTATAGACTGTTACTGGGGGAGGCAGTGCCCAACCCAAACCCTGAACCCTTTCATACACGGATTCTGTTCGCCTCAACAGTTCAACCTCACCTACAGGGCTACAGTACTTGCCTGCAACAGTCTAAATTCGGGGTCATATTAGGGGCTATATATTGGTAGTTTCCCAAAATAAGGGGACCCCAATATGGACCCCCAAAAGTGTCATAGTCCGTATTATTGGGACCCCAAAAGGGTACCCCCTAGTTTTGGGAAACCCCCATATAACTTCATTAAACATTCTCCAACTGTTACAGAGTGGAGGCAAGCCGCGAGCTATACCCTTGCGTTGAGGCTTTCTTACTGATATAGTATCACAGGGTCCATTGACCTGGAAGTCTTCCATGGCTGGTAAGATCACAATTGTGTGAGGACGAGCTGACAATTGCTTGAAGGTCAATGCTTTTGGCACCAATCCTAAACAGCCCCTGACCCTAAACCCAAAAACCGAAAATGACTCCCCATGGACAGCAGGAACCAGAAGTCAACATGAGACAACGGTTTGAGGACACTTGGCCGGCACACGATTCTTCGAAGGGTTTCTGCAGTTTTCCCATGTTCTTTACATACCGCTGAAATACCATGTTGTATTAATCCTCGCCCTAAGGGTCCAAAGACTCAAATAATGGGGTTTTAGGGCCCAAATACTATAATCTGAATGGTATTTGGAACCTAAAGCCCTACTATTTGGGTCCTTCCAACCTTGGGGTTGTTTATCTAGGCTACAGCTCACCCGCAAAACAACCATGAACAAAGATGAAGTGGATCCAAAGGCACCCGAGGTAAGAGAGGCATGCAGCTGTCTGATTCCTTTGCTTAGGGTTTAGGGTTAAGAGGTTAGGGTCTAGGGTCTAGGGTTTAGGGTTCAGGGTTTATGGTTCAGGGTTTGGGGTTTAGGCTTAAGGGGTTAGGGTCCAGGTTTTAAAGGTTTAGGGGTAAGGGTTTAGAGGTGAGGGATTGGGGTGAGGTTGCTGCATTGTGCCAGGAAATACACGCACCACCTCACGCTGTGTCTTAATGGTATCTGTGGAGGCGCATATAGTGCAATGCCGGACGTACTACCTTCACCTTCATGCAACGTGACAAGCAAGTCTTTCAGAAAACGAACTGGACTGAGAGAAGTCCTGCGTATTCCTTTAGTTTACAGCAGATTGCAGCTGCTGACATGTTTGTATATCCTTTACGGGCAACCAATTGCTGGCTGAAAGCTTTCTTGGTGGAAAAAGTAAATATCCTCATGTGTCCTCAGTGCTGACAAAGCCAGAAAGACTACTTCATATGCTCCCTGCGATTCTGGTGCCCCGGTTAGCACTGCTTTTTCCCGGCCTCAGGGATTGCGTGCGGCGTTGTTGAGTTGTGGTTAATTACAAAAAGGGTTTCAGGGTTTAGGGTTATAGTAATTACAAAAAGGGTAATAGGCCAGGCCCCCAACCACTAATATTGACCACAACGGAGAATGTTAAGATCCTCGTTTTTACTACCACCATTGCTGGTGGGCCTTGCTGTAGGTAGTATACCCTAATTTGGAGTACGCCCCAGGAAAAAAAAAAGGTATAGATTTTCAGATATTGTTTTAATAAGAACCCAGGAACCAACAAAGTATTAAAGTGTAGTACTCCAATATAGGGTATAAGTACACGTCAAGTGTCACGTAGACCTCGTCTCCAGATGGCGGCCGGTGCCAAATCACTGGCGGAAACATGACCTGAGTGAGTTAGTGCTTGGGTACTGCCCCCACCCAGAACAGTCTATATCGGGGGTCCTAGTAAGGGCTATATATAACCATATTATAATTCTTATCCAACTGTTACTGACGGGCAGTACTCAAGTTAGTGCTTGGGTGCAAAGGAGTGTTTCGTGGCCAGCAGGTGTAGGGTAGTTAGAGGATTTGGGTGATGTAAGATTTATAGTCCCCCCTTAAGCAGAGAGAATATGGGGTATATGGGGATCTTATCATAATATACCCAAAGCCATGTCCTATCTAGTTAAGGGGGACTATAGATTGTGCAGCTCTTCAAAGTAAGGAGTGGCCTCTCATCCTTGCCAAGTTGACAAACAGTAGCAACAACAATGGTGACAATAAAAGTCATGCTCACATCAGCAATGCTAGTACGCATAGTCACGATGATGAGAAAAAGAACCAGCATCAAATTCATGGTAGAAAATTGATTGAAGAATTACCAACGTACTTCTAGTATAACTCCACTATATACTACCCCTTCATACATCCTGCTGCGTAAACAGCCCTAAACCCTAAACCCCTAAACTACTTTCACCCAACTAGGAGGCCAAACTCGAGATGCGGGGTGCCTGAGGCGAACAACGACCGGAGACACAGTTGAAGATTACTACATGGACTAAAGGGGCTATATAGGGATTCTATAGGGATTATATAGGGATAATGGAAAAGAAAATGAAAACTACTACTATGTTATAATAGGGTTTAAGGGCCTAAATGATTACCAGTATCATGTTAAGGTCTGTTTGAAGTACTATAGACCATAACTATATAAGGAATATGGAACCATAATGCTGGTATTAACCAGGCCCCTATATTACTTTTGTGGTTCGTACTTCCTTGCTTTGGGGTTTAGGGCCTAGGAATGGAGTTGTTTTCCCACGTGGGTAGCCTTACACAAGGCTGAAATAAGGCTCAATGGGGAGATGGGAAGTATGTGGGGGAAACTGCCCATCTGAAAATTCTCGTTTGCAGTTTAGGGTCCGGGGTACCAATTAAAGGTTCATTGCGGGATATTAGCTATCTACTTGCAACTTCATGGGTAGCTTTAGGCAGGGATAAAAACCTTACGTCAGCCCACGTGCATAAACTATAGTTGCTCTGTAACTCACTGACTACTACGCTGCAGTTGATATGCCATGTTACATGGACCCAGGATTTTGGGATTCAGACGTGGAGTAGCCCTCTTGGTAAGACTCGGGTTGCATGTAAGTCTGCGGGGGTAGAATTCCAGGATCATCTTATAATTATGAAGTGGAGCGGGTCGGGCGCCTGGACCACAGAAAAATCACTTCACAGAGATGCTAGACATGAAGACATCTTTTTGATGATAATGATGATAATGATGATGATGACGATGATGACGATGATAATGAGAACACTACCCAGTAGAGACTTACTGGGGGCAAGTAGGGAATAAGGAAATACCTTAGATTCTCTGTACGGATTATATTACCTGATTCCTTACCAACTGTGGATGGAAGAATCTTGCACCACCTAAAACCCTTAGGCCCTTAAATTATTGAAATTCCCAGGACTTAAAGGACTTAAGGTGGTGCAAGATTTCCTCCATCAACAGAACCACCAGTAAGGAAAAGAGTAGCAGCAGTAGCAGCTCTTCATGTCTGGCCCAGTTGCCGGAGAAGGAGCGTTGTCTAAGCGAGCCACAGCTTCGGCGCTGCCTTGCGCAGCATCTCACCGGGCAGGGGCTCCTATGATAACTACTATGTTACATGGGTGTAATGAAGGATAGTACGGTCTAATGTGATGCGGAGATATATAAATAATCCAATAAAACAAATAAGTACGTAAACAAGTAAATAACAAACAAATGAATAAGGCTCGTTGAAACTGTTACAGACACTTAGGGGTGGGTATCATTAGCACGTCTTCAGCCTGTCTTCTTTCACCTGGAGACCTCCTTTCAGGAGTTGTGTCTTTCCGCAAAGGAAACGCGTTCACGATCACAGCTGCTCTTCCCCTAAGGGTCCATGTACCCAATAATTAGGTACTTGGGATATTGGTAATAGTAATTATAGTGCAGATTTTGGGTAAATAGATGATTATTGGGTACTTGGACCCTTAGGGTTCCTATCTTCAAGATCACCCGGGTTTCATTCTAGGTGAAGCGTAACAATCACTACTACGGCCCACAAACGAACAGAAGTCTTACGCTTGTTACTTACTTAGCACAGGATGATTTAGACTAATTTCAATTCCCAACTTAAGGCCGTTTTGGTACTATTCCTATCTATTCCCTATATAAACCACCATTTTGGATGAGGTCGGGTGAGGTCGCTTTGAATTGCCCTACTTAGCCCAGCCCCACCAGCGAGGAAAACCGCGGAATGCCAACCCCAAGACCTATACTGGCTTTATATAGGTTAGGGTTTATATAGGCTGGGGTTTATATAGGTTAGGGTTTATATAGGCTGGGGTTTATATAGGTTAGGGTCTATACAGGTTAGGGTTTATATAGGTTAGGGTTTATATAGGTTAGGGTTTATATAGGTTCGGGTTTATATAGGGTTTAATTGTATAGGTTAGGGTTGATATAGGTTTGGGTTTGTATAGGTTAGGGTTTAGGGTTTAGGGATGGAAAAGAAAATGGAAACTTCTGTAGTATATTGGGGTTATGTAGGGACAACGGAAGGAAACTTACTCTACTTACTATAGTGTATTGGGTTTATATCGGGATAATGGAAAAAACAATGGCAGCTACTATAGTCCATTGGGGTTCTATAAGGATAATGGAAAATGGAAACTGCTACAGTATATGGGGGTTATGTAGGGATAAAAAATGGAATCTATAACCCTAAACCCCAAATCCTAAACTTAAATCCTAAACTGTAAACCCTAAACCGCAAATCCTAAACAATTTAGGGTTCCAGCCTCGAAAGGCATCCATGTGTCCCGTCTCCCCGTACAAGTTTTCCTGGATCGGTTGGATGTGAAGTCATATAGGGTAACATACGGGTCATTCAGGGGAAATATAGATGTATAGAGAGTAATATGGGGGTTATATAGGGTGGTCATATAGGATGATAGAAGGTCTTATAGGGTAATATAGGGTGACATAGGGGTTATACATCGGAGTTATATAGCGATGATGGAACTGAAAATGGAAACTACTCCCTAAACCCTAAACCCCTAAACCCTAAACCCTCCTATTTGGGGTTTCTGGGCAACAACGGAAAAATTAGCAAGGCTAGGGGCAGTACTGCGAGTAAACTCAGCGCAACGAAGAAAAACTTAGGGTTCAAGGCTTAGGGTTTAAGAGGTTTAGGGTTTAGGGGTTTTAGGGTTTAGGGGGTTTAGGGTTTAGGGCTTGATGGCCAACAAAACGTTATTCTAGAAGAACTTAGTAGCTTCGAACGCAAGACCACTCGGACCATCTGCAGGAATAGTGGCAACAGCACGGACCATAGTAACAATGGTGCAAACATTCAGCATGACCTTCAGCACCCAAAAATACTGTTGCTATGTGGAACCATTCCGTTGCCTAATACAAACCAGTGAGTAACTATTAAACCCCTTCCCCTAGACTTTGTCAAAGCTGCAGTGCTCATCAACATGGCGAACCCCTTGTCATTGGCTTGCTTTGTGGGGGTTCAGGATGTTGCATGAATATAAAGTAGATATAGTATATACATATATATATATGTACACATGCATACACCCTAAATTCGACACTCTTGATAATAAAGACTGACAACAAGGGACCTCCAGGTTTTGGGAACCCCGCACTTGTATGCACCTACAACCTTCAAGTACTATTGATGGACCAGATCTCACATGGCAAAATATCCTTTACTCCATGACCCAGCTCAGCTGCTGGGGAAGGCAATAAGTCTACGCGCAAAAGGTACAGGAACTGCCGGAAAGTACTGTTGATGTTCGCAGTCAGCTTTAGATATAGTCCCCCTTAAGTAGATAGAATATGGCTTTGGGTGTATTATAACAAGATCCCCATATACCCCATATTCTATCTACTTAAGGGGGACTATAGGGTTTAAGGTTCAGAGCTGGGATCATGGTCCTGCATTGATTAGCACGTCCTGCTGTCTGCCTCATGGGTCCACGAGGACAACGCTTCCCGAACAACCGCTGCAATTACCATGCGAACCATAGTCTAAACTCCTAGGGTCCACCTTGAAAACCCTCATAATAATGTCCCATATACTCCCCCATATACCACGCCCCCATTAAGGAGTTTAGACTATAGCTCATGTGCTGATGCAGGACGACCTACCTTAAGCGGCTGAAGATGTTAAGGGATTATACTAGTACCCCCACCAAAAAAAGGTATCCCCCGAGATTTAGATTGCCAGTAGGTCTTGTTAGTGGTTTACTTAGTTCTTATTAGCTCCTTAAACCCGGGGGGTACCTTGGGGGGTGCTCTTCTAACCCTTAATAAATATCATGCTTGCTGGTGTTTGGTAGGGAATTACAGAAGTGCCCATATGACCCGCTGTTTCCTCAATCCTCAGCCCTACTATTCGTGCTTCATTTCCCTTCTCCAAAATCAGAACACTCTATATATGTATATATATATACAGATATACTCAGAAGGACTATACTTACGTGTGTTCGGGAGAGAATGGAGCATTGGATGGATGCTGTCGAAGAGCCGAGGTCACGTCGTACTTCACGCCAGCATCCTCGCGCACGTGGTTTAGGGCTTTGGCTTCTTCAGAAATTTTGTGAGTTGTGACTGCTTCTACACGGTCTATGTAGGCCCAATTTCTGGCTATGGGGACCCTAGACCCTAAACGATTGGGGTGTCTGGGTAGGGTTTGAACTGAGTTCACAGTCTGGGACTGGGTGTGGGCTTGACCCCTAGCAACCCGAAGGGCAGCCTCAAGGACTCCAGCGGTTTGAGTGGTTCTTGTAAGCCCCCAAACCCTGTTTAGGGCTGATAGTCCACCTTAAGTAGATAGAATATGGGTATAGGGGGATCTTATTATAATATACCCAGAGCCATATTCTATCTTCTACTTAAAGGGGACTATAGGGTTTAGGGTTTAGGGCGCAGAAGGGACTATGGACATGTGGTCTATAGGGATCATATCGGAATTATTATCTCTTATTCCCTACTGAGAACCAGCAAGAGGTTGGTACATGACAAGGACTTCGGGATGTTTTTCCGGATGGTAAGCTTCTCCTTATAGCCCGTTGCAAGCTTTGAATCCCACATGGCGCAGTGAAGCCCCACAGCACCGTAGTAGGGACGAAGGGGCTGCATGGGGCACCGTGAGGATTAGACGCGGCTTGCTAGGATGAAAACCTTGATGCTTTCCGCCTTCCCCATGTTAGTGGCGAGATATATGTGAATACACATATATATATATAACATGCACCCACCTTCAAAATTCTTTACAGGGCAAGTGAGGAGGACGTGATTACTTCTGATGCGACTCCTCGTGCTGCGAAGCAACGGCATAGAAAAACAAGCAAGCAACAGTCCCCCACCCAATATGTGGCACTTGACAAATACCCAGAGTGAGCCCAGACCCCTGAAAATGGATATCGTCAAGAACGTGCAATGAAATTGCAATGTCCCTAGATAGGGGGGGGCCTGATATTATGGACCCCAGAACACTAGAAGCCTTATTATAGGGACCCCGAGAAACGCACCCTGAATTTTCCCAGATATGTAAAGATGGCTTCATAGGCGCTGGCGGCAATAGGCCCCTGTCTATGTAGAGTTCATTAGTACGGAGCGATGGAATACATCCTTTCGCAGTTCCTACGTAATCTCCGGAGCATTTGCAGTATCCAAACTCTGCACTTGCCGGGAACTCAAAAAAACTGTTATGAGGAAGTGCACACAGAATCTTAGATTGTTTGCTCCGAGCTCTCACTCTGCGTGGCAACCCCTCATGCAGAAGTCAGCAACACTTCTTTAAATCTGGCATGCATTCTGACTGCACAACAGCACAGAACCTGTGAGACCTTTCGCAAAGCCCCTACGTGGAGGCTAATGGTTTATAACTGCGTTTGAAAACAGGATAGCTGTCGCTATAGCTGACTACAACCTTCTTTGGAACACTTGAAGCACTACATACTTCATTAAGCCCACCTCAAAGTGCAAATGATTTGAACAACTGGCAGCTTTGTTTCTAATCCCCCAATTGAACCCTACGTCGTGGAGATGACCGCATCATCGTAAAGGAGCAAACAGTCTAATCCTACGTGGCAAAATGAGGCCAGCAAGCTGCACAAAGAGGCTCCTAGGCCAAAAACTTCTTGTAAAAGAGCTGACATACCAAGTAGAAGGCCATCATGGTATGAGAGGAGCTATGTGCATCACCACCAAAGCTGGTCCGAAAAGATCAGCCCAAACAAATATCAACCCTATATCCCAAACCGCCTTAGCCCTAAACCTAATTCCTTGTCCTGAGGTACTCTACACCCTAAACCCTGGAGCCTTCCCTCTAAAAATGGCTCCATATTCCGCTACTATGGATACGTCAAGTATGTGTGCCTGTCTGCTCTTGGGCTTAATGTCATGCAATACAAGCTTTTGCAACTGTGAGCCAGCAAAACTCTCCCTTAACTATATGAGCCATGGCCTAAACTCCTAGCATGCCCCTTCATAAACCCTATAGTAGTTCCCTATATATTCCTTTGTATAACCCCCTTCGAGGAGTTTAGACTATAGCTCATATCAAACCTTTACTCGACCCCAGTTGTGAATTTTCCTTGTTGTTTTGATTCTGCATTATTCTACACCGCTTTTCCTGCAGGCTTGCTGAGGGAAACCCTCAACTTGAAGCTATGGTCCATGACAGATGACAATCACTCCTACGAATCCTCCAGTAACCGCCCAGTCCTAAGCCCACCGAACCTTAAACCATGGACCCTCAACCCGCACCCCCAATCCCTAAACCTTACACCCTCAGACCCAAACCTTAAACCCTAATCCCTCAATCCTACACTCTCAACCCTAAACCTCAAACCCTAATCCCTAAATCCTAAACCCTAAACTCTGGAGTCCTCCATCAGCAACTTCAGGGGTTCAGCTCGACCCTTCAAATCGCCGTCGTGGTACACCAGAGTCCACTCCTAAGGTTGGGAAGTCGAAAGCAGTGGTATGCCAGCATTGGAGCTTACATTCTGAGACCTCTAACCTCAACCCCTCAACTTTCCTAGGCTGAGCCACCCTAAACCCAGAGGTTTAGGGTTCGAGGGTTTAGGGCTTAGGGTTTAAGCTCTTTATGTCCCTCTAAACCCCAGTTTCCCTTTCATTTTCTGTTTGCTTGTCCGTTTGATTCTCCATTCTGGGTAGTATTTCTAAACCCTAAACTTTATATTCTAGTTGCCATGTTCTTGTCCGTTATCCGTATATTTTCATATATATATATATGTATATATACTAATATATAGACCCCTTAAGTAGATGGAATATGGCTTTGGGTATGTTAGAATAAGATCCCCATATACCCTATATTCCCATATACCCTATATTCCCATATACCCTATATTCTATCTACTTAAGGGGGACTATAAGGGTTCAGCGCTGAGGATGCAGGATTTCCTTAACCCTATGGTTTAGGGTTTAGGGCTTTGGGTTTAGGGGTTTGGGGTTTCGGGTTTAGGGCTCAATCCCGAGGATTTGGGGAGTCTGGGGTGGAGGAGATCAGTGGTAGGGAGCTAAAACATCGAGGAAGGATTTGATCTGGCGTATGTTCTACTATAGTTCGAGGGAATATGATTGGCAATCTTTCAAACATCAAAATCTCATAAGCGGGGTTGGAGAGTAGAATAGAGCATTATTGACTCAGAAGGTAGATCCCCCGCAAGGGGACATAGTTCTCTTGCTGATGCTAAGAGATTCTATGAAAACTCGGTGGGGAGTCCGCAATGTGCGGTCCATGGAAAAGACTAAACCCTAAACCCCTAAACCCCTAAACCCTAAACCCATAAACCCCTAAACCCCCAAAACCAAAGCCTCTCTTCAGCGCTTAGCCCACTGAGGATTCCTGGAAAACAAGGGAATACACTCTACCAGGACCCTCCTTGTACCCTTAAATAGGGGTATATGGTCCCTAATAGTGGGTATTTAGGGTATAATAGAGGGTAGAAGGAGGGTTTAGGTATAGGGATTGTGTAGGGAGTACATTCCCTTATTTCCTGATAACCCCCTCTAAGTTAGAGTGTTTTAGTTCAAGCAAACAAGGTTTTCAGGGCCCAGTAGGGTCGTTTTGGGTGTCCTCCAATCGTGAAGAACATGGCGAACTACGTGGGACCTTCTTAGAGGCATCTTGCGCGTTGTATCCTCATCCGGTTCCCAGACCCGTTTAAGGATCCAAAAAACGGAATCTCCCAGTGTAGTGATGGGGTTACTTTGCGGGCTCCCATTGTTGGATCCTTGACGGGGGTCTGAGCTCAATGGTTTTGCTTTCCCGGGCAAATTGCATGCCCAAGACTTTGTCCCGAGTCAGATTCAAACCTTTGCAGGACTCTAATATGTAGAAAAATGTAGATCTCCGAGCTGCTGCGGGGCTCCTCCATTCACTACGAAGCACTAGGTGGAGGGATCAGGGGGCCGTGTACTAGTGTTTAGGGCCTGCCATCGTCATATGATATTTACAAAGTCCTAGTTGGAGGGGGGGGGGTCAAGGCTATCAAAATCCCCTCATTTTCGAAAGGGAGGGATGCCTCTTCTTTTCGTGTGTTCCCAAGAAAATTCGGACAACCCCCCGTACTCTCTGACTTTCCAACCTGAACTGGAGCCAGGAGGATGCTGCTTGCTTGCCCGCATTGTTGTTATGCCGCTGTACCTAAACCCTCCTTCTACCCTCTATTATACCCTAAATACCCACTATTAGGGACCATATACCCCTATTTAAGGGTACAAGGAGGGTCCTGGTACTGATGTGATTGTGATTATTGTGATGGCTATTGCTGTTGCTGGTAGCAGAAGCAACAGCAGTCGCCGCCGTGGCATCAGTAGCAAAGGTTGTGGTGACTGCCATAATCAAAGGGGGACACTGTTTGCTTACCTTTGGATACATGTAAGAGGCGTCAATGTTGAGAAATTCGCGCATTACAAGTAATGCGTTTTTCTCCATGGGCTTAGGATACACCTCTCCAGGTCGGCCAGCGTATACAACTATGACAACGCCAAAGTCCCGACTCGACCACTTGTCCAGAAGCCTGGCTTACTGCTGGCGAGCCTCTGTCATGGTGCTGAGCAAGGTTGACAGCTCAGCCAGCGTGGCCACACGTTTGCGGTTTAGGGCTTAGGTTCCAGCCTACCCTTAGCTGTTGTTGAATTCCTTGGATGCATTGACGACTGCTTTCGCGTATGGTGGCCGACAACTACATTAGCATGAATGAATCACCGCTATCTTCCGGTTGCAGCAACCGGCTTGTTCATGTTTCCTGGATGACCGTCATGCTTAACCATGGCAATCACCGTGGCTTGTACCTGATTCGGCTTGCGCACGCAAGGACGTCAATCTCGCTGAATGCTACCAGGAGATACCAGGAGAGAAGTTATGCAATTTGGGTTGCAGCTATCGTAAAATTAGGAGTAATGATACAGGTATGCATACTTAATGTACATTCAGCCCCAAACCATGAAACTCATGCATGCTTACGATGCTCCTGTACCTCCGAGCATCACTGCTATATGGTAGTTTCCCAAAATAAGGGGACCCTGATATAGACCCCAAGAGTCTCCCAAGATACTGTAGTCCTTATTATTGGACCACCAAAAAATGGTACCCCTAATTTTGGGAAACCCTCATATCATCACCAGCAGCATCAGCATCATCACCATCATCGTCAACCCACGGGAAGCTTTGAACATTCATGCACGCAGGTATACATGTATGTACATACATATGCGCGTATCTGCATGTTTATAGATAGATAGGTAGATAGATAGCTAGATGGACAGATAGGCAGACGGGGCCCTTTTGTACTTAGGGACCATGTGTATATATATATATATATGCTCATGATCGCTGGACATGACGCCAACAGCTGAGTGTGGGCATGAATTACTCAAGGGCTGGAGCCTAAGATTTGGTTGTAGGGTTTAGAGCGTAGGCCTCCGTTTTAGGGGATTTTTCAAGGTCGCAGTTTGGGCTTGTTCATTCAACAGGCATATTGTAGATGCTACTGAAAAAGTACCCAAGCTGAGGCAGGACCCACGTTCTTCTCGGTTTGCGGTAATACGACTCCAGTATCTCAGGCTACAAAAGCAGGTGCAGTCCTTATGGGCCACTTACGGGTGGTGGACTCATGCTGTTGCTGCTGAGATGATGAAATATCTGCGCAAACTGCGCAGCATGAAGGGGGCCAGTTGGAAGCTGAGATGTAGCATTAGCCAAGAGTTCAGGAAGCTCGCAAAGCGAGTTCAGAAGTGATGCCCAGTCCGCATACTGTAGGGATCTGTAGGGGCCTACAGAGCCCGAAGGCATGCTACACAGCTATGGCACAGGGAGAAAAAGTTGGTATTTACTCAGGCTTTCAGAGTGCATGAGGGAGAAGAAAGCCCCTTGCATCAGCAGGCACTGGCTGATGACCGTGCCGTTGACTTTTTCATTTTGCCGCTACTTCAGCTCTACCAAGTATTCACGCATTGGACGGTCGCTGTAGCCATTCTTGCCACCATGTGCGTATCGCTCGTCTTCAGGAGCGGTGTCTGGGATGTCGCTCCTCAGATGTCAGCGTGGCATGGGTGGATTTGCTCTTCCGGAATCCAAGGACAGCTTTTGCCAGCTGAGATTCATTCTCCAACCTGGACCTAAACCCCAAACCATGCCCAAACCTGCTAACAAACCCTGAGATCTGACATCCTCAAGGAATCTGCACACAGCGCGCAGCAGTAGCCATACTAGTAGAGATGGCAGTGCGAATCTGCACAGCAGCGCTGATACCAGAAACACCACAGTGATGCTCACATATCCGCAAACCTTACAAATCACATGCAAAGCAACCGGGAACGGTCTTACGATAATTCTTGGTGCTGCAATGTAGGACTACTATTGCGCCTTTCAATTTGGGATTGCTATCGTTCTTGCAATTCACCAGTACTATTACAATGTACTACTACTATCGCTGTCACAGCAAACTACTAATACGACTTACAATTATGACAACTTCTTAGTAACCCGTGTTTGTTATTCACATTTTGCTTCAGTACCATTACTGGACTATTACTGCTGCTGTTGCTTGTGCTGGTGCTATTTGCATCCAATCTTCTTAGTCACTATTGTTCTGCTGAGTGCCTACAGGGCACAGCCGAAACTACATCTAGGTGCCGGACTGAGCTCAAATTCCCCTCAAAAAGGTTCTTGGGATCATGTAGGTTTTAATGTTGACCGGCTTTCAATGACGTGGGAAGTGTGTTTGTGGTTCAGGGATTGTTTGTGTAAGGGCCCAAAGACATTGAAATTGATTTTGGGTTACATTCTACTGTGGTTCCATACGCCTCGTAAAGTCACTGGCTTACCGATTATCAGTTGAAGTCCTTCAGGCTATCATTAGACGTCTGCGTATCTCCCCACAACCACAAGACAGTCAGACGGTCCTTGAAAGAGGCGAACTACACCCTGAACCCAAACTGTGAGAGTGCTTTTTGGTGGTTGAACCAAGTAAGATTATAATCTGTACATAGAATACTATACCCCAAAAGGGGAGGATAGAATCTTACTCTACTAGGTTCCCCAGCAACCCCGTACTGATAAAGGTACCCTTCTTCCTAATGTTCAGCTTTAATAAGGAAACACCAAAACTAAAAACGAAAATGGTACTACCGGGGTACCTAGTCTATACTGGGTCACAAGCAATAGTACCCCCAAATGAAATACCAATCATGTTTGCTGCTTGCCGCAAGCTTCCATGTCACGTCTCCGTCCTCGTTGATGGAATCGAACAACCTCCGTCTCTCTGATGTTTGGAACTTGCCCAGGGCTTTGGAGTGTAACCCTAAACCCTAAACCCTAGTGGCTCGAAAGACAAAGCCTGATCCTCTAGCAGTCTCTTGGCAGTATCTCTGCCACCCTGCTCCAGAACAAGTTGAAACTCCTTAGAGATTAAAACCCTAAACCCTAAACCCTAAAACTCTAAGCCCTAAGCCCTGTCTACCTTTATGTCGTTCCATGTTAGCTTTGGGAGACGGCACATGGACTCCAGGCTTCCTCAAGTGATAGGGCAAAAGCAGCAGGAAGGTCTCCTTACTGGGTTTAGGGTTAAGGGTTTAGGGTTTAGGGCTTAGGGTTAAGGGTTAAGGGTTAAGGGCTAAGGGTTAAGGGTTAAGGGTTTAGCGGGATTTAGGAACCCACTTCATTCTCCACAAACTTGAAGTTGTGCCGAACTTCTTGCTGTGAAGAGCCTTCCCTCCCTAAGCCAAAACCCCCAAACCCCAAGCGCACACATCCTCTAAGCTGAAGGCAGCTGGAAAGTTAGTACTGCACGGCTTCAGAAGGCCAAGGTGCTCATCTTCCAGGCAAATTGGGCACATGTCCTCCAAAAAAAGCCGTGTGAGTAGCTTTTAATGGGTGGTTGAACCTAGTAAGGTTATAATCCTTATATGAAATACTATACTTAAAAAAGACAGTATAATCTTACTCTATATTGGGTACCATCGTATCCCCAAATAAAATACTACTCATGTGTGTATATCTGCTTATATACAGATACCTGGACAAAAAGGGAAGAGACATAACACATGTCTATGTTTGTAACATGTACATAGATACATAGAGCCAAAACAGCCTTCATACGGGTTCGGTAGGGGATGGAGGAAAAAACTTTTCGCATAACGCTCCGGGCTTCGATTTCTTAATTTCAGGCCTTGGCCCCAACCTATATACTGCAAAGCCATGCATAAATACCATTCTATACATATCTTCAAATACATAAGCAAGAATATATATATATATATGTATTTATTGGCTTATAGATAGACATGCATATGCGTGTCAGGTTGAGGTCTATTTGCGGTACCCTGTTCTACAAGGAATCTAGAACCAGTCCCCGCAATTATCCTAGGCAGGTCAAGATATCTTCGGACTTCCTGCAGTGTTCAACATCTTCCCATTGCAGGGCATGTGCAAATCTTTCTTCGACTCTCTACAGCGGTAGGCTACGAAGCTAGCTTGGGACGTCAACTCAAGCGCTCAAAGCTCTTGAAAGATCTTTCCTTCTGCTACGGGTGGCCTACAAGGGTTACGTTCAAGCCTGTCAGACAGCATCAGGGGTATATACCGCCTTACGACATGAAGCTTTGCACAGCTGTGTTTCCCTCTTGGCCGTTTCCCAGATCCCTAAACATAAGCCCTAAACCAAACCGAGACAAACATCCTAAGCGCCCGCTCCAAAATCCCCAAGCCTAAACCCCAAACCCCTACAACCAACCCCGCAACCCCAAACCCACACCATAACTTCCGGGTGGCCTGATCGCTCATTGAGCCGGTCCCGGACATTGCCAGGGAGGGTCGAAACAACGGCTCACTAAAGGTCGAAAGGTCGAAAGGGGAAGGGTATGTAGGGTTGCGGGAGGGTCCTTAGGGTTTCAGAAGAGCGGCTAGGGTTGAGTTTAGGGCACACAGGGTCTTGGAGGCAGGTGTAGGGGTTAGGGCTTAGGGTGAGAAGGCTGCTGGACTGAAGTACTTGAGCTTCGAGGTAGAAGTAGTCTATCATCTGTGTTCAGGGATATGGCGCCTATGTCATGTACCAAGACGGTAGGCGCTGACTAATTCCCCAGCACGGCACATAGGATTCCGGAAAGTCAGCCCGTTCCGTGTAAGGGGCTCTAGGATCTGAGGATGCTAAGTAGGCTTTGGGCTTTGGGCGACTGGCGAAGAGCTGCACCATGTTCATGTTGGCTTTGTTCACGCACATCCAGATCAAATGCTGGACCCTGAGCCTTTGAAAGCAGAAGCGTACCAAGTTCCAGGACAGATCTTCCATGCCAAAATGAGAACTTCACTTCACCCCACATTTGCTTTTCGTCTTGCTGATCCTGCTCTTGATGCTGCTTACTACTACATCTGCGCACACCGCTAGGAAAACGCTAAGCCCTAAAACGATAATCCTAAACCCTAAACCCTTACTCCCAATCCTGGACTTCAACCAGGTGTATCTGGCCAAACATCAGAAGCCTGAGAAGCAACCTTGAGGCTTTTTAGCATAACGCGTCACCGCCGAATTTCCAGCAGCTCCACGTCAAAGATCACATCCTGGTGCATTGCTGTTCTAGTACGTTGGTGTTCTCAAAAAGTAACGAATTTAGCGCGCGCACTACACATGCATACGTCTCACACCAAGTTTGTGCAAACCCCACAAGCATCACAACTTCACAACTCTCGACTGGACGGTACTCAGGCCACAACCTGACCTATACTTCACCTGTATGTGAAATCCCCCTGGCGTGCCCTGGTCCTTGGGGATCGCCATCTTCACACGCTCTGACTGGTGTCCGTATGCCAGATCTGAGGGGATGTGTAGACGAGCCCGTTCTCCCACCTCGAGTAGTGTCCGTGAAGGCAATAGTTAAGGATCCAAAACGACTGCGACTGGTTTGAAAACACAGGGCCATTGCTACTCTTGTCACGAATCCCAGGTGTCTATTTGCATAAAAAGAAGTGCGCATAAAGGGCTGGGAGCTCCATTGCGGCCGCCAAACAAAATGCGGTATGTCAGTTTCGGCCGCAGGCCACAAATAGTGAGCACACAGTATTCAACATGTATGAGTCAATGAGGGCCCCTCGATCAAGTATTTCTATTCTACCACGGTCACAGGGCGAAGAGCTAACAACAAAAGTATGTTAGAGCAATCCAAGCAAAACGTGTTTGGCGTTTCATGGCGCGATCATCAAGCTGGATCGCGAGAATTTTTGTACTTTGTGGCACCCTTGGGGTTCCTTGTAGTCAGGTATTCTACTTATGAAGGGTTACACGTACTTACACCTACCCGACCTATTCGGCCTTTCTAACATAACACGGTCTCCCAGCCGCCCTCCACAAGACCCATGAGCTGTCAGAGTTCTTAGGGCTTGGGGGTTACGGGGCAAATGGACACCAAGATACGGACATCTGTCTGATGCCTATGTCAAGGCCAGCGATAACCTCAGATGCGAATTCAACAGTGAGCCCTGGGTCCTCATCCGTATAACCCTCGAGCACCAGGGGTGTTACGCGCGTGATTTCAGGAATCAGTCAGGTATCTGCAAATCATAACTATGAGGGTTTCTAGGTACTGCAGCGACTAGACCGGCCAAAGCCCGGTATAGTCCTACCCAAGCATCGAAGCATACCAAACCTGATCTTTTTGTCTGTTAGTGCTGGACCGGAGGCCGGAAAAGCGGGATGAGCATGCCCGGCAGAGCTTGAAAGGTTTCAACTTTGACTATATATAAGATTTAGTGAGAGTTGAGAAGGGATGGCTGGGAGGCGACGCGGCATGGTATACTACAACACAGATGACAACTTCAAAAACGTTCTGCATATTGGCGCGAATCCGGGCTGGCGCTGCATGCGTGTCATCCAAGCCGCTATTTTAGTTTGAGCTTTTCCTTACGTCCCATTTCACTGATTGCATTTAATTATGCTGCCGGTGTATATGAGCGTACATGTACTGGTGTGGGCCATCCCTCTGGCAAGCTTCAACAAGTACAAGCAATAAGGTAGAGGCGCTCCCTAAATGTCCCCTGCGGAAAATGAGTACCTTTCTGCTTCCTACGAAAGTCATGTGAATCCAACAAAACCCTCACGTTTCAGCGCTTTTCAGGGTGGGGTCCCACTTGAGCGCGATTCTAGCTATTCTGAACACACGGTCATCCAGAACTTAGCATGTATGAGCCCAGATACCTAAACCCTAAACCCTAAACCCGAAACCCACTCCAAGCCTTAAACCCTGCGAACCACCAGGGCTATGAGCCTGTACACCCCAACTTGAGGGTTTCTGGGTAGCTATACACCGGGCTTACAAATAAGGTAGCTATGGTCATAGATCAAGGTAGGGGCGAAGCCCATGGACTTATACTCTAAACCTTCAAGTGAATCTAGAGAAGCGATTTCAACAAGGTAGCTTCCCCAGAGCCAACTTGAAAAACAAACGGCGTTGGCGAGTCCTCTGGCATTGGAAGGGTTTGGGGGGTTTTGGGGTTCAGAGCAGTTTCTAGAAACCATCCTGTCACTGTCTTAACCCTCCCAAACATTTAGAAAACACCCTACACCGTAAATCGTGCGCAAGTGCTTCGAGTTTAGAGCTGTGCGCAGAAAATGGGCCACCCAGCATATCCCCTTCAACAAAAGTGTGTTCCTCCTCCAAGGACCCCATCAGAGACCCATCATTTCAGAAAACATAATCTCATCTAGACTATGCATCTGAATGGAGGGGGCGGTTAGTCCAGCACACTTTACGTGTGTTACCATAATATTCAAGAACGTCCGTACAAATGCATTCGATATCTTTTCGTGGCCAGGCTCTCCCAGGTGCCCAGTACGCTTCTGCTAGTCACATAGGGACTGCAGGGGAGGAAGCAAACATGCAACCCCAAGTGGGCCTACATAGACGCTCTCCTCGCACAAGAGGCCTGTATTATTTTCCATGTGAGTTGGAAGACGCTCACCGAAGCAGAACAGAACATGTGCCCAAAGACGCAAAGTCTATAATCAAAACATGAAAAATCGTCCTCCGCTCTTACATTCGAGTGCTGCAAAGCCCAAACAAAAGCTTTAGTCTGAAAAAAAAGCCTGACTCAACATTGCCTGTTCCTGACCCTGTGACTGCCTAAACTGTTTGAAAGCCTAGGCTGTCTTGAAGGTCTGACCATTGAGATCCCAACAACTCCAGACCTAAACCTCAAACCTAAACCCTAACACTCTAAGGGATTTGGAACCCCAGTAGAAATTAGAATTTCAGCTAAATATT